TGTAAATATCCCCCAAAAAATGTACAGATTAAAAAAAAAATAATAAATCATCCCCTACTCACGGTGCACGTGAACCAAACTACGGCCTCACCCCTAACCTCCGCCGCGCCTGGTCGCACCTCACCGGCGCCACCCCAATCCTCTCCCTCTGCAGATCGAATTCCATCCACACATTCTGCTGGTGGTGGTGCCCGATCACGTACGCCTCCATCCCCACCAGATCTGAGTTCCCAAACGTGAAGCACTGAATCGAATCGGTCCCCCGAACCTCCCCCGGAACCCTGTACAGCAGCTGTCCACCGGCCACCTCTATCTCCGCTCCCCGGAAAATCAAGCTCACCGTCGGCAGATCCGCCACCCCCGCCTTTCCTTCATCAACCCTGAAGCACAGATCGAATGCCCCCTGAAACACGAAGTCCGGTTCCTCCAGTATCCGGAGCAACCCAGCGGTCCGGTTCACAAACTCGCTCCTCAGCGCCGCGTAAGCCGGCCCGAGTAGGAACGTGAACTGCGTTCCGGAGTCAACCATGGTCTGACCCGCCCCGGTATGATCCGGCTCGAAAACGGACTTCGGCAACGGGAGAAGCTTCTCCGACACCCTTATCCCTTCCAGCTGAACCGTATACGCCGCCCGGTTGAAATACGGCAGCCTGGTCTGGATCTGGATCATCGGCGTGTAGTTGAGCGGGAGGATGACCCCCGCCGTGAAATTCGAGTCCCCGAACAGGAGCACGCCGGAAAAATCCGACCCGGATATGCAATACGCGAATTTTCCAAACCCCATTTGAGAGACGAACGATAACGAGCCCCGATTCATCCCCATTAGCCCCGTCGTCTTACCGTCTTCCTCCGAGTTGCTACTATAGCCTGAGTCCATACACCCGAATACCGTGCCCGGAAAACCCAACCCGCCTATCGAGAATATTTCCGAGGCGAGATTCCCCTCGGAGGACGACATGTCGGCGTACGACAGGATCGCGTGGCATAGGTTTCTTGAGTCGCACGAGGCGGGTATCGAGAAGTCCTGCGTACGGTCGGTGCAAGTGGCAGACGAGCACGAGACGGGCGAGTACGTAGAGGAACGATTCGGGTCGAACGCAGGTCGGTTTGCTCGGGTCGTGTTGCATTGGAGCCACGAGAGTTCGCTACCCGTGTCGAGTACCATCGTAACGTTCTGCAGTGGCGTGCCGACGGATAGAGAGACGGTTAGGGTTACGTTGTGGGTGAATTGGAGTTTGTTCGGGATTTCTCGGGTTTTGAGGGGAAGGGCTAGGGTTTTGCCAAGAGACCCGAGATGGGTCGATTTCGGGACAAAGAAAGGCTCGGTCGATGAGTAAACGGGTCGGGTTTTGAGCACGAAGAATGTGGAGAGTGAGAGTAGTAATAGGGTATGGATCATATTTTTCATGGTGTTTTCTTGGTTTTTAGAGATATGGAGAGTGTGGAATTGTGATGTGAGATTGTTGTTTTGTGTGGCTTATGGGATGTTGAAATTTTGTGAACCATGTAAAATAAAAATGGAATAAAGAAAAAGAATACATATGAGAGAGATGTGGTGAAAAAAAAAAATAGATACATTGTTGATGTGATTTGTCAGCTAAGATTACTAATTGGGCACATATAGCATTGAAGTGTTAAACAAGATTTTGCTAAATTCAACTATGATTGAAATGGGTTATAGAGGACAATAGTCTTTTTTGGTTTGTTTGTGTTATGATGTGCATGTGAGATATTTTTTAATACAAATTTGTCATGCTATTACCGTGCACCTTGGCACACCTAGTAAGGTGTGCCAAGACAATTTAAAATGAACATTTTACTTTATAAACTGAACATGTGTAAATATGTTTATTATAAAATGAACATGTGTAAATATGTTTACACATGTTCATTTTATAAAGTAACATGTTCATTTTAAAAAAGCTTTCGTACACCTTGCTAGGTGCATAGGTGTGCCAGGGTGCATCTAAGTATTTGCGCCAAATTTGTACCTTAGCTTTTATGAGGTGGGTGGGGAGGTTCATGGCAGAGTTTAATAGTAGCAATATTCATGGACTACTTTTTGTTGAGATGATGAATAGTGAACAAAATTATAACTCAAATACAGCTTATATTTAAGTTAAATTGCCTTCAAACATAAAACACGTCTCAATTTTGGTTGACCATATTTCTAGCACTATTAATGGGTAGCTTATGAGTTACACGGTTTTGTTATGGAGCCAATAGTTACCTTCATAGTGGAGCCAGCTTTCTATATACAACAAGTAAACCTACCATATTCTTCGATTACTTAAATAACGTTAATATAATTTTATTAATATTGTACGTTTATTTGTTGTATATAGAAGGTTAATTTCACTATGAAGCTAACTGTTGGCTTCATAACAAAACCTATGAGCTACATGTATAACATTGTTATTATATGAAGATGCTTTGTGGGGGGCTCTGTAATATTGACCACTGATATATAAAAAGTGCACGTGTGTTCACATGCTTTGTGGGCATAGGGCTTAGTGGGCCAACTGGGTTATGGGGAGCCGAGCCTCGGCCCATTGTGTGTCAATTAGATTGTGATCAAAATGATTGGTTCCATTGGCATTGGTGGTACGATGATTGTGAGGATTTTAACGTGCCAACCAGCACAAGGGCAACGAAATTTTAAAAATTGGACTAAGAATATTGGATTTGGCCTTAGTTCGCGTGAATAATAATATAACTTTTATCGTTTGTTGATATTCATGCAATTCAATTTCTAACGCGCAATTATTGCTCAATGAATTCAATATAGAGAAGAAGATAAAAATATTTGGTTCAGAAAGTTGGAGAGTGTTTAGTTCTCGATGTCTTAAGCTTGTGATCTCAAGATCTTGGGATTTTCTATTCCATATCAAGCAATTTCAATCGAATAGATAATGAGAAATTTTTAATTAGGTCAAACACATTCATATGTGTTGTAGGAGACCCTATTGCTCAATATGTAGAACTAAAAAAATGAACTACATTTACACAAATAAAGCAAAACAAACTTTAGCTTAGAAATCAATGGTAATATGGTCACTTTGTTCATGAACCATTAGATTAAGCTTAAACTTGAGTGTATCTCTACGCAAATATCTTAATCATTTCATCTCATATTATTACTTAACTTTAACTAACTATAATTGAACACGATTTCAAATATAATCACATGCATAGGTCAATGACTTTATCAACCTAGTATAGATAAAATGAATGTTCTCCAATTATATTCGATGAATGAATCTCAATCTTGGCTCAATCATTAGTTATATATATATATATATATATATATATATATTTATATATATATCGATAATACATATAACCCAACAATGAGGGGCTATTATGGTGTTGACACGTGTTCTTTCATGTCTTAAATGCCCTTCGTTGTGCTACATTTTTACGGAGATGCCACTGCATTTGTGAATAAGGTTGAATTACCTCTCTGTCCTCATGTATGTCTGACCTTCCGGAAATCCCGCAAAAAATCTGCACAATTATTTTCCTTTATTTTACCTTTTCTCTTGCCATCACACGCAACAATCACCTCACCAAAGTAGATATCTCGGTCAGTAAAATTACACATATCCTCACTTTTTCTCTCTGCTATTCGACTCCTCAAAACCTGCATCGGCCGGACCTCGCCGCCGCACATAAGCGTCGAGTTCCAGTGGTTTTCGATCGCGTTGTTTGTGCGCCCAACTCCTCTTCTGTGAACAACTGGTGCTCCACCACCGTCGACAGCAAGTTGCATCACCAAAGGCAAAACGGTTTCCCCGATCTCCCTGGAATCGCCTGGCTTATCAGCGTAGTGTAAAAAGTAAAAACCATCATTTTCTTCCTCTAATAAATATAAATAAATTTTCAACTGCAAGTGCTCTGTACAACAATTCCTCAATCCCCCAACTTCTTCCCCTTTATTTCGTTTCGATTGCAAGACAAATTGAGGCTGCAATTCAACTTTAAAGCTAGGGTTTTTATTGTTGTTCTCGATTTTAGCGACTAAAATTAATCAATGGGGGTAGAGGCTGAGTCTAGCTTGGGCGTTGCGGGGGCCGACGAGGTGAATATAAACATTCGAGGCTCAAACGGCTCTAAATTCTCGGTGAAAACGAACCTCGAATCGACGATGGCATAATTTAAAGGTGTGTTGTCGCAGAAGTGTGACATGCCCGATCAACAACAGCGTTTGATCTACAAAGGTCGAATCTTGAAGGACGACCAAACCCTGGCTAGCTATGGTAATTTTTTCGATTGTTTATTTTTTTAGGAATTTTTGTTTGTTGCGATAAATTTGTATTAATTTTGCATGCTTTGCTTGCTTACCTGTAGTTGACTGTTTCATTGGTTTGCTTACATGTTGGGAATTGTGAGAACAAGCTTGATTTGATTATGAAAATTGACTTTGTGGGTGATTAGGAACAATAAGCATGAGCAGATTATCCCTTATGCATATGTAGTTAAAACTTCCAGACTGTTGTTGCTATAGTTTGTGAACATTTACTTTTAGGGAGATACATTACCCAAGTGAATACTTGGGCAATCTGTGGATATTAGATTTCCATGCTATTCATTTAAAACACCTCCATGTGGTCGATTTCAGCCTGAAACAGGGGATGTATTGGCCCGTTTGGATTCAGGCTTTGGTCGTGTGGCCCGATAGCTCACTGTCTTTTTGACTCACTGGAAACGGGACGTCTCATTCCGATAACAAGGACACATTTAAGCATGTGGGTCTTATATCGGGATCGGAGATACACTTCCGATGGCTGCAAACTCTGTTATACTTGATAGCCAACTATGTTGAAAAACACTGGAAGGAATGGAAGGAAGAGTGTTGAGGTAAAGTAATTTTGTTTTTGCGAATAATTTTTAATTTTGATGCTTAAACATTGGTTCTGTTGAGCAAAAATTTTACGGTTATTATTAGTTAATTTTACTGATTAAAGAAGTTTATTCAGATTTATTCTTAGCTGTTATTTGGAGCTTAGTTTGTCAATGGCAAAGAAACCTAAGATCCGCATAAACAGTTCAACCCTCATAACTATGCTTGGTGACGAGGTACTTTTTTCCTTTTAATTTTACTGATTATCTTCAATTGGGATGTGTTATATTCAATGAGGCGTTGTATTGCAGTTAATCTTTGTCTAAACTGTCAAATAAGTGGTTTTCATAATCACTTGCTATTAAATAAAAAAGATGTTGCCTTTATGGCAAACGAATTTAGTTTTTTGAAAGAGAGTTTTAGTGTTCTGTATATATGAGTTATGATTTTTGCGAAGGTAGATTTTCCTTTTGATAGCCTTGGAGTAGAATTTGATGTGGTTGTTCTTGGACCGTCATATATTTTTCAATAAATGTGCAAGTTTAACTATTAGTCCATCATACATTTTTTCATTAAATGTGCAGGCTTAATAGTTCGATCGTCAAACTTTTTTAAATAGATATGCAATCTATCAAACTGAAATGTCACTACTTTAAAAGAGTAGTGTACAATTATATTATGGTCAACCAGCCGGCGACTCAGAGTGCCGACACCATCGAGAAGAGGTAGTGGCGGACTCTTATGTGCTTGCGTCACCTCTTGCCGAGGCCCTACTCCGCCGCAACCTTAGAGTATGTGTCCTTTTGGTTTCTTATTATGCTGCTTTTTATGGTGGATATATCAAAATTCCCATACTATTTTTTCCTAAAACTGAAAAATGAAATCTCATATCCGCACTCAAAGTTTCCCCAATTGACGAACACTTTTATGATGGAAAAGTCTCAACCCTCTCTCTCTCTCTCTCTCTCTCTCTTTGTGGCTCCTTGTGGATTACGGAGATGTCAGCCCGTTCTTGAATTTAAGGGAGTTTCTAGAAGAGCTTGGGTATAAGGATACTGACCTCAATTTGGGTGTTGATGTTAGTTTTTTTTCTTA